TACCCAATGAATCACTTCTTCGAAGCGGCGGACGCTTTTTTGGCCGAAGGTTTCGTTTTAGGCGTCGAGGCGGTGGCCTTTTTCGGTTTAGGCGCTTTCGGTTTCTTTGTTGGTGGTTTAGCTGTTTTCTTAGCTTTCGGCGCGCTCTTGGCGGCCGCAGCTTTAGCGCTCGCTCCAGACTTCCTAGCAGCGGCGGCGGGCTTCTTTTTCGCGGCGGCGGCGGCTCTTTTCTCCTTTACCGAAACTGCGGCGGTTGCGGCAATCGAAGATTTACCTTTCGACGGCGATGAAGCTGACGCTGCAGCCGCTTTCTTTCCGGCCCTGCCGGCAGCCGCCCCCGAAGAAGTCGAAGCGGCACCACCGGCGCCGGCCCCTCCCTTTTTGTTGCTGCTGCCGCCTTTAGACGCTGCCGAAGCGGAAGCGGACGAAGCGTTGCCCTTTGCTGCCCTTACGGAACTGCCACCGGACGCACCACCAGATCCGGAACCGGGTTTCTTCGAACCGGAGGTCTTCGATTCCAGTTTAAAAGATCCGGAAGCTCCCTTGCCTTTAGTCTGTATTAGAGTACCGGATTCGACGGCGTTCTTCAGATACTTTCTTATGAACGGTGCTAATTTTTCAGCATCCACCTTGTACTGGGCCGCTATGTATTTCTTGATTGCTTGTAAAGATGAGCCGCTGCGCTCCTTGAGTTCGGCAATAGCGCTGTTCACCATTTCCGACGTCTTCGGATGGCTCGGTTTAGCTTTAGGTTTCTTAGCGCCCGCGGAAGCACCACCACTCGCGGATGTTTTTGGTTTTTTGACGGGTGTAGCCGGAGCTGGAGTTTCACGCCCAACAGCGGTATCTGCCATCGTTGATGATTATATTATTATTGTTGTTGTACACGCACACACAAAACACAAGAGATTCCAATATTATTATTAAGCACAGGCAGAATAATGAATCGGAAAAATGAAAATGTTTACACCTTACAGATGTCGCCACGATCGGTTAGTTTTGAACCCGCGCCGATCTGTTACCGTAACGAGAACGCTAAAAACGCGATACGTTTTCGTGTACCAATTCTTGAAACTTTTCACTAACACATCTCACGTCTTTTGTATTTTTTTCGATATTATTAAAGACACGTAATTATTCTATCGAATTTAGATTAAACTACACGAATCCTTGAATCTACTGATGTACGATTCGTTATGATCCGATCGTATTATAAAATAATATTAAACTTTTAACAACGCTATCTCGTCGATTGCACAGGTAGTGTTAACTTTATTATGATATTTTACATATAAAACGAATAATAATTATATATTTAATGAATAATATATAACCCTCTTCGTATACTTTTAAGGTTGAACTTATTTTTTTATGAAATATAAAAGTTTTCATAGGTTAAAATGATGATCAATCGAGAGGTACGTAAAACAGATTCAAACTTTCAAGTTTCGGAACGCGCGAGCGGAATGTTCTATTCTGGTTGCTTGTAAAGTTTTTTTTTTTTTTTTCTTTTTCTTTTAACATTATTTTTTTTTTAAATATATATATTAAGTACCTATGTACAATGAGATTTCACGCTATCAATATAAATCAACAATTATAATGATAATAATAAAAATGTTGTACATACCTATACTGTCTTAAATACGCTTTTACGTGGTGCTAAAAGGACTAGAAATAAACGAAAATTTTTGCACGCGACGACTGCACTATACTAAAGTTTTAATAAAACTAGTTATATATCTTACTAATAATATAAAAAATAAATAATGATTTGATTTGTACTATTAGGTCGGACACGTACCTGTACTAATTGCATCCATGTGAGTTTTCTTCTGTTTGAAACTAATATAGTCAAGTAAAAGAATAAATAAAGTAAAAAGAATATATATATATATAAAATTAACCTAATAATCGGGATATATTTTTATTTATTTTTATTTTAATAATAAAATTAACCTAATGAAAATCGGGAAAAAAAAAAGGCAAGTTTTCTCATAATAGATAAAAATGCGGCCCTGAAAAGGGCCTTTGTTTGTTTGTATTCGAGAACGAAAAATTTAATAATAATTAAACGAACCAACGTCACTTGCGATTGATTTACAACATCAACGACAGCAAAAAGTTCTTGAAACATGTTTCTAGATGGTCCACGTCGTGTGTTGCTTGCTTGCTGCTTGCTGCTTGCTTGCTGTCACCGCTGTTGTCAGTTGTCAGTCATTGCTCGGTTGTCCGTGTAATTAAAAAAGAAATTGAATCGTTCTCGAGACAAAAAATAAAAATAAAAAATCGTCGATGAAACTTCTTTAACCGCCGAAACCGTACAGGGTGCGACCTTGGCGTTTCAGAGCGTACACAACATCCATAGCGGTGACGGTCTTCCTCTTGGCGTGTTCGGTGTATGTGACAGCGTCGCGGATCACGTTTTCGAGGAACACTTTGAGAACGCCGCGAGTCTCTTCGTATATAAGACCGGAGATACGTTTCACTCCACCTCTGCGAGCCAAACGACGGATAGCCGGTTTCGTGATGCCCTGGATGTTATCACGCAACACCTTCCTGTGACGTTTAGCGCCCCCCTTTCCAAGACCTTTGCCTCCTTTACCGCGACCGGTCATCTTGACGAACTTCTCGGTTTGTGTTTTGTATTAGTAGTAGCAGCAGACTTTAACGCGTTGCGCGACGAACGACGAATGAGCCTCCGAAAATTACGTTCGGACCTATATTTAGACGCTGCGCCTGTGCGCGCAACCACGGAGATTCTCTGAACGTTGTAAAGCGACGCGGGGAGGGGAGGGGGGGGGTAATATTCACAACGACGTTGTCTTCTTAGTTTATCGAATCGAACGTTTGAATACAATTTACTATATCACATTTATATCTGAAATAGTTATATATATTATTTATTTATATATTTACGTTCAACGTATATTTAATTTAATACGACTACGGTATATGTTATCGTAATACATAATATAATATATTATACAATGAAACGGGTAAGTTAAAAATAATAATAATAAATAACAGTAGGCAGTGTGTATTCTGTTATATGAATGAATTGCGGCCCTGAAAAGGGCCTTTTTTGTTTCTTCATAATAAAATCAGCATCGCGAGACGGCGTAGTAAATTAAATAATAACACACATCACACATCAATCAATCAATCAATTAATTTGGTCATCAACAAATAATTTACGCACGTTCACCTCTGATTCTGCGGGCGAGCTGTATGTCTTTTGGCATTATTGTCACACGTTTCGCGTGAATAGCGCAAAGGTTCGTGTCCTCGAAGAGACCGACCAGATACGCCTCGCTGGCTTCCTGCAGGGCCATCACCGCCGAACTCTGAAAACGGAGATCGGTCTTGAAATCTTGAGCTATCTCACGGACGAGACGCTGGAAAGGCAGTTTGCGAATCAAGAGTTCCGTGCTCTTCTGGTAACGACGAATCTCACGAAGGGCGACCGTCCCGGGCCTGTAACGATGAGGCTTCTTGACACCTCCTGTTGCCGGTGCGCTCTTACGAGCGGCCTTGGTGGTCGCCAATTGCTTTGCGAGGACTTTACCTGTCCGGTCGACTTACGAGCAGTGTTTGGTACGCGCCATTTCGAGACGACGAGTTCACGACGTAAACGTACGAGTAATAGATAGGTAGGTAAGTAAGTAAACGATAATACGTCCGCGTCCGCGCGCTACGAACGAACGAGATACACTAAAAATGTCGGCGTCACTACCCACTCGTATTTATACTTTTTTGAAGTCACGAATCGAACGGGCTCGTTTTGCTCTATTGTATGGAGATGCGTGCGAGCACGCGATAGAGCGAGACGGATATATTCAAAATTTAATGTGTTTTAATTGTTATTATTAAATATATAATATCTATTTCTTATACATAGGTACATATATTGTTTATTTATTTATTAATAATAATTTAATGATTTTACTTTTTATACATCACACATTACATTCACTTTTGGTTATTAGAATACTACTGCTACAACTAATATTATGATTTAATAATATATAAAAATCGGTGTGTGATGCATGATAGGTATATTGGTATTTGAGGTATATTAAAAATAATAACAACAATATGTTTAATTTATTTAATTCTTATAAATAGATCGTATATTAATAATAATAATCATTTTATTGATAGATTTTGCGGCCCTGAAAAGGGCCTTTTGTCGATGTAAATGCAACCGAAACACGCATACGAACAGCGTACGGTCGTGCATCAGTTTTGTGAGTTTGAAATAATTACCGAAGTCATGAAGAAAGTTACTTGGAGCTCGTGTATTTCGTGACGGCTTTGGTTCCTTCACTGACCGCGTGCTTGGCGAGTTCACCCGGTAACAACAATCTCACTGAAGTCTGAACCTCCCTCGAGGTTATCGTCGAACGCTTGTTGTAATGGGCGAGACGAGAAGCTTCTGCAGCGATACGTTCGAAGATGTCGTTCACGAACGAATTCATGATCGACATGGCTTTACTCGAAATACCGGTGTCGGGATGGACCTGCTTCAGCACTTTGTAAATGTAAATGGCGTAACTTTCCTTCCTCTTGTGCTTCTTCTTTTTCTTATCGGTCTTCGAAATATTTTTCTGGGCTTTACCAGATTTCTTGGCGGCCTTTCCACTTGTCTTAGGCGGCATGATGATTCGATATTAGTATTTAGATTGCTATTTAGAAATCCCCACGGAACGCAAACGTAACGGACGTGCGGCACGGTTAACGCGAAGCGGTATAATAAAAACGTTCGGCCGAAGAAGAAGAAGAAGAAGGGTCGTCATACCCCCTCACGGGGGCATGGAACGGGCCTCGGGGCAAACCCCACTGCCCGGGACGAAGCTCCCTGCCACATAGGGCAGGGGTGGTATAGATGCGGGAAGAAGTAGGGAGAGGTACGCTGTTCGCAGCGCGCACGGCTGCACTACATCGACAAAATAATAAATACTTATATATAATACGATGGGCTTGGTTCTGTTGGGCGGAGTGATGCCCGCGGAGGAGTCACCCCGGCGCCGGCTGCTGTCCTCTGCTTGAATTTATTATTCCTAACTACTAACTATAACTAACTAAAACTAAACTACCATACTAACTATTAACTACTACTATTTACAATATATACAAAGCGGGACAACAGTCAGCACCGTGGGGCCCGCCACCGGCCCCATGCCGCGGCCCCACCTCTACAAGTCAGAGGGGGAGCCGCGGCACTAGTTTGGCGCTCACCCGCTAAGGGCTCCCCAGAAGGGGAAGACCGTCGCGGGGAGGGACCGACGTAAATCACTCCCCTTAAGGGGGAGTGGTCCACCCAACACGGGGGATAGAAATGGGTCCCCATAGGGGGGCACCCCAACAGTGTGGGGGGAGATGAAGAGTGTGGACAGCTCAGTCCCATGGGGGCACTCATTATGAGCACTCCCATATCACTCCGGTTAAGCCGACTATCTTACCATAGCCGGGGGTTCCAGTAGCTCCCTTGGTAGCGCCTGACCATCAGGTGGTCTGGCGTGCAAGGGAGCTATATTGTGGAGATGCTCGTGGGGTCCACCGTCAGCCCGCTCGTACATATTACGAGCTAGCCTCCGAATGAACTCCTCGAGCGACTCCACATCTAGATCCCGGGCGATTACGTCATTTCTGACGTAACGCCCTGCTCCGACTATCGTGCGAAGAGCCAGATTCTGCTGGGCCTGTAACTTCACCCGCATGATCTGCGGGATGAGGTGATACCAGGCCGCAGCTGCGTACGTGATACGGGAACGAACATACGTCTTGTAAATGCCGAGTCTAGTCCTGGTCGGCAACCTGGAGGCCAACACCGGCCGGAGGAGAAACCTCGCATAGCGGGCGGCCGCCAACGCCGACTTGGCGTGGGCGGTCATCCTCAAACTCCGGTCGATATTGACTCCCAGGTATCGGACACTGGGCCTAAACTCGACATTGACTCCACGGAGACTGAGCTGTCCTGGGACGGCTCTTGTGCGGACCGGACCGAAGAGGATAGCCGCGGTCTTCCCCACGTTGACCGCGACCCTCCATCGGTCCAGCCACTGGGGCAGTAGGTCCAACAGCCTCTGCATCCTCGAAATGGCCGCAGAGGGGAAATTAGAGGACGAGAAGTAGGCGCTGTCGTCGGCAAACAGCGCCAACTTCACGTCGGCTTCCCACGCTTGGAGGTTGCCCTCAAGCGTGGGAATGTCGTTGGTGTAGAGAGCGTAGAGGACTGGTGCCAGGACGCTTCCCTGGGGAACTCCGGCCGTGACTGGGCGCACCGACGACTTTGCGCCCTCGACCGCGACAAGGAAGGATCTTCCCTCCAGGTACGACCCCAGCAGTCGCACATAGGCGTGCTGGAGGTCCGTGTTCTGCAACAGCTTGTAGATCAGTCCCGCATGCCAGACACGGTCGAAGGCCTTCTCGATATCGAGAAAGACTGCGGCCGTGTACTGGCGCGCGTTGGACCGATCCGCCAAGTGGTGCATAACGCGGACCAATTGCAGCGTTGTCGAGTGACCGCTGCGAAACCCGAATTGCTCGGGTCTGAGAAGGATGTGCGGCGATACCCTTCTCAGCAGCAGCCGCTCGAACAACTTGCCCATATGCGACAGCAGAGTGATCGGACGATAGCTGGAGGGATTTCTCCTATCCTTGCCGGGTTTGGGCAAGGCCACCTTGCCCAATTTCCAAATTCCCGGGAAGTGTCCTGTGGACAGAATGGAATTGAACAGTCGTGTCATGAATGACACGGCCGTTTCGGGGAAGTGGAAAAATGCGAGGGAGGGAATACAGTCCTCGCCCGATGCCTTGCGCCTCTTCATCCGCTTGATGGAGAGGCGCAATTCACTGGGAGTGATGAAATCACCATCTCCCAACGGTGGCACCGGGTAGGAGAGTAGGCTTGCTACGCTCTCTTCCACCGATTGGTGGAATGCGGCCTCTGAGGGTGCAGAGTCATTGGGAGCGAACTGCCGCTCCAGCATTACGGCCAGGACATCGGCGCGGGCCTGAGCCGAGAAGCATCGGTTGCCCCTCTCGTCCACGAGTGGACAAGTCGGGGCAGGCCGATTTGAGAGCTGGCGGCAAAATCGGTGGAGGGACACGGACGTGGGGTCCTCACGGGCCTCCTCGATCCGTTCCTCCCACGCATAGCCCCGAAAGGAGCTAATCTTCGCCGCCAACTCCGCTTCCAGCTCATTAAGCTCGCGCTTGATGCTGGGACAACGGGTTGTCGCCCAGAGCCTCCTCAGGCCCCTCTTCCGGCGAATAATCGCTTTCAGATGGGCCGGGAGTATACCTCTGGGCCCGCCGCTGGGCACAAGAGTCATCGCCTGGTCGATCGCTCCCCTGATGGAGTCGACAAGGCGGACTGCCGCGTCGTCGACCCCCTCAGGGGTGTTGGGGTCCTGAATTACGGGAAGGTCGACTAGGCGTCTCTTAAAGAGCTCCCAGTCGACCTTCGGTCGTAGGGGTGAGGTCGCAACCCGGGTAAGCCCGATTCCCAGTGTGACCAGGATAGGGAGATGGGGGGTACCCAGGTCGTACAGTGCCTCATAGTTAAGGGGCAACGCAGCCCCTTGTGAACACAAACATCCAAACATCGGGCTGTAGTTGCGCGGCGGTCAGAATGTGCGTGGGTTCGTCGGGGCCGACCACAGAGTAGTCGCCCCTATCGGCATCTTCTAACAGCCGCCTGCCCACTGCTGAGTTAAGTCGGGAGCCCCACGCGACGTGCTTCGCGTTGAGGTCCCCGACCAGCAGAGCTGGGCGGCTGTCGTAACTCAGGACCCGTCTTAAGTCTCCGGTGTAGAAATCAGGCCCCGGGGGTCTATACGCGGCATAAACCCGCATATCTCCCCCCGAGGTGTGGATCCTCACACCGATCGACCTTGTCGATGTGAAGGCCAGCAAGTCCAACTGATCATGCACCACGTCTCGCCTGACGAGTGCCGCAGTGCCCCTGAACGGCAGCCCGGCAGGACTCACCTCATTACATCGGTACATGAAGTAGTTTGGAATCCTGAACACATCCCGAGGACGTAACTTGTTCTCTCCCAGGAGCACAACCTCAGGGTTATACTCCCGGGCGAGAACCAAGAGATCGTTCTTGCGGGGGTTTACCCCGCCGGGGTTCCAATAAATGATGCGCTGTTCCTGGCTAGCCATTGAACTGCGCAATCATTCGATAGAACCTCGACGAGAGAGCCCCGAAAGGGCTGGCTCCCGAGGCGATCTCACGGATCACTCCGGAGACCACCTCGGACAATTTCTCCCAGAGCGCGAAGAGCCATGCAGCAAAGCCGGCAGGTTGTGAGGCCTGCCGACCGCTGCACTGCTCGCGCTGAGGGCGGGGGGGAAGAGGGGGCAGAGTATTGCCCAACGGCTCAGGTTGAGCTTGAGGCATGGTTTGTCCCTCCAGTTGTGGAGGGTTAGTGTCGGCAGTTTCGTTGGCTTCCATGGCCTCATGAGGTTGTTGGTCCACTTCCATGTTTCTGGTGCTGCTCTCTCTCGCCATTTTCTTTATGAGTTTCTTCCTCTCCTTCTTTTTTTTTATTTTTATTCTTATTTTTTGAAGATTTAGGGGCTGAGCCGGCTGTCTGGCGAGTGTCGTGGGCTGTGGTGACAGCTATAATTTGGGCTCGGCCACGAGGAGTGGGGTTGGACGTTTTGGTCTGTCGCGGCGGGTTGGCCTGCGCCATCAGCGTGGTCGCTGACGGCGCTGCCTCCACTACCGAGACAGACGGAATGGTACTAGGAGGGGGAGGGGCTGGGGTTTGGGAGGATTTCCCTTTCCCCTTCCCCTTCCCCTTGGGGATGGGTGCAGAGACGACAGGAGCAGCTGCTGGAGCTGGGACATTCCTGGGCCGTGGCACCGGTGGAACAGGAGGGGGGATGGTTACTCCCATCATCCTGGCCCTCTTGCGGTAGACCACACACCGCCGATCGATGGCGGCGTGGTCCTTCCCGCAATTACCACAGGATAATGGGCCATCCCTTGGCCTCGGGCAGTCCGCCACAATGTGCTCGCCGGCACATCGAACGCAGCGGACCGCACGGTGACAGTTCGTGGACGCGTGCCCGACGGCCTGGCAGCGGTGACACTGCGCAGGTCCCCGGGTTGGACGCCATCCCTCAACCGTCACCCCCGGCAAGTATAACAGTTCGTTAACTGTATACAGCCGGGCGAGGTCACCCTTGGAGAGGTGGTCCAGAGCCACGAAAAATACGCAGCCCTGTCTCCCCCTCTTGGCCTGGATGCACCGGGCATATCGGGCAGGGAAGCCCAGCTCCTTGAGGGCGTTCGTTACTTCCGCCGCATCGGTGTCCGCAGGGAGACCCCGGACAGCCACCTTCGAGGGTATTTCCTCCGACAGCGCGTAACAAAACCATTTGATGGTTTTGTCTGCAGCGGAGGCCCTCGAAAGATAGTCCTGGATCACCCTGTACTCCTCCGCCGATGACGGCAGGAAGCGGAAACCGGCGCCGTGGGGTCTGGCAGAAGGAGCCCTACCGAGGCGCTCCCTAA